GATGATAATGATGATGATGATGATGATAAGGTCGTGTCTATAGCTTCGCAACCAGAAAACGTTAACAAAAGATTTAAGTAAAGGTCTGATGAGTTCAGGTAGCTGCACATGTTCAGAAGCAGTTAAAAACAAAGTGTCAGTCCTGAATATTTACGAGCTCGCAACAGGAGAACCAATGTAAAGCTGTCGGAGGAGGGGAGTGACGCGGAGGGAGATACTTGAGAAAATTTATTTTCCCATGACAATTAAAGGTAGTCTTTTACACTACATAGGCCTCTTCAAGTAACAATGAATATGCATGATTTCTGCAATCTTGAATTTGCGCCCTCTTCTTTCTTTCCTTCCACATACAGTAGAACACCTCCTCTGGGACACCTCTATTAAGGGGACACTTTCGGCCATAAAAACGAAGAGAAGTATATCCTCTAACACTATGGCCAACCCTTATTCAGGGGACACTTCTATTAAGGGGACACTTTTTTTGGAACCGAAGGAGTCCTCTTAATAGGGGTTCTACTGTAGTATCTATGACGTAATGACTGTTAGACAATGCACCATATGATAAGTGGTTTTTTATAATAAAGCCACAATCGCACGGGACTTATTTCGGTAAAACTAACCGACTCGCCGGTTTAAGACGACGCCGACCAAATTCTTTTAGTGGATGTGTATATCGCTATCAGCCGTCTGATCACAGTATTATATTAATTTTGCATGCTTTTTTTTTTTTTTACTACACTACAGTTATTTTGAAAGATATTACTCAACAACACGTTCTTGTTCATATTGTCAATATAAATCACTTTGACACAATCGAGTATTAAGGTACGGTGGTACTTTTTAAACGTTTTTTTTTTTTGTTTTTTTTTTTTTTTCTCAGCTCGACGCAGGGAGATGTGTATAAGAGACAGGTTACTGAGGGTCTTCCGTTCTTTATAATAATATAAGTGGAACGTGAAATTTGGATATGGTTTTGTAGTCAGATTTGCGAGAAAAACTTCAGCTACCCGTATTTCTCGACTGAGACGTCAGTGGGAGCTGTCATTTGTATGGCAAGGAGATTGAGCAACCCTTCATTCATATTAAGGGAATTTACGCCCCAAAACTTTGTAGTTATTAATATTTTGGTTATAATAGAAAATATTCATTTTTGGTGACGTCACACTCACATTAGTTAGCATGCATACGTCATAAGCTAGATACGTCACCTTCTCCTGGTAAGGCAAACTTTCCCGGCGTGCTTTTTTCATGGATAGACAACACCACTGCTTTGCACATGGATGCCTTGCCCAAGCCAGGGCTACAAGAGGCGCATTGTTAGCATTGTATAATACTTAAATAAGGTACCTCTACAAATGAATTATTCTTAGTTATTTTTTTTTCTTATTTTAATTTATTTATTTCTATCACATATAATTCCACTGTCTTAGTTAGGCCTAGGCCTAGTCTTATGCCTCATCGATCGTCCCCAGCTACACAGTACATCAGCAGCCCCTCCCCCATACAGTACAGACGTTTGCTAGGTAACAACGTGATTGCACCTTCCTTCCCAGGTGTTCATGTAACATTGACATAATTGTTAGCTAACCAGTTGTGTGTATTTCTTTGTGAAAATGAGTACCGCGGCGTACTCATTTTCACAAAGCATCATTTGCATCCCCTCTTGGAAAGAGGGATTCGAAATAATTGTCTCCATATCTTCGCTAATTAAATTAATCACCGTAATTTAGCTTACACTTATGAATTTAGGGAGCACTTAAAATGTGAAATAATCATTTCACTACCCGACAAGCTCTGAACTCTATTCATTCATTAGTCTTATAATAGTTTCAAATTGCCGCACTATACTCCAACATCACTGGCGCATGGTAACAACCGACTGCAGACCATTTCCGGTCACACACTCTCCATAACACAGCACCCCCTAGTTCCGTCACCTCTGGATTTTATAATTGAAGTACATTACAGCATTACCAACTTACTCGTCCGCCGATAGGTGGCTCACATCCGAAAAAACTGTTCATTGTTTCTGACGCGTTTATGATTATGGCACTAGACTAGATAAACTGGAAATGGCACTGGATGGCAGATGACCGGAAAATGTTTTCACATCAACTGAATGTTTATTTAGCATATTTGCATACAGGTACCCTTCCTGCCACCAATATTATTTTTCGATCTGCACAACTTATTAAAGAAAACTAGGTGATCATTCAAAGGATTTTAAAGGTTTTCCCCGATTTTCTATGCCTAGAACGGTTATAGATCATTTGCACGCACTTTTTTTTTTTTTTTTTAAGAGTTTGGCTTATAATACAACATTAAAGCCTTGATATTGTTGATCTAGTATTATCTTAAATATTCTTTCAACCAAGATTGTATATTGCAAACTTATGTAATCAACTGTAGTTTAAGTCAGAATATGGATTAAATACGCACGACTGAACGGCTCTTTCTGTAGTTTTAAATTCTGTGGGCTAGCCTTACTCAACCTATGACAAATATTGGTTTTTAAAAAAATGATAGACCGAATGATTAAGAATATATTCAACATTTGAATTGTTTGGTTACTGCATATATAGGTAATTTAAATATGATCTTTAAGTGTCGCTCTCTACATTGCTCGAATTATGAGGAAGAATTTTTTTCTCAGTACCTGTACCTCTTCAAAATCTAAACTTGCAAGGCGCAATCACCATTTTCAAGAACATGGTGACTGCCCCTTGCAAGTTGAGATTTTGAAGGTGTGCCCTTGGTAAGCCTCATCTTTCCCATTGCCATCCAAAATATGCAACCTCCTCCTAGACTCGAAAAACCTGGTTTCCATAAAATCCACTATTGACAACGACTTTCAGAGATGCTAATTGGATGGTCAAATCGGGGTGCTTTCCCGATTACATCAAGGGCAACTACGCAGTCTAACGATTACAGTGGCCTACCGTGTAGTTATACTGTACCTTTATGGGTGTAGCAATTTTATGGATACAAACCTTCGATTAACAAAATTATTTACGCAAGCATTTGAGAGATATTCGAATGCTTTTTTTCCAAATAAAAACTTAAAGAAAATTAGAAAATTCATTCATTTACATTAAATATTTTAATAGCATATTTTGATAAATTGATAGAGTAGTCTCATTAAAATAAGATACCTGATTAATGATAATAAAATTAATAATCAACAAGCGACAGTCGTTTTTTTTGTCGTTCAATGAAATCTTATTTTAGAAACTGCTTTGTGAAATTAATTTTTCATAACATTATTAATAGTTAATTTGTAAATTCTTAAACTTTAATTTGTAAATTCTTACACTTTATTGCCTTTCACTATCGAAGTATTGGAGAATTATGTTATTCTTGGTCAATTGATACATATATATGTGACAGGTCGAGAACTCCATGAATTAAACATTGCGCACAGGAAACATTTAAAGTTACATCGCATACCCAGGTGCTGTATCCATGCTCCTGGGCATGGTCCAACATAAATGAAGTGCCAAAGAAAACTGGCATGGGTGGCTTAACACTCGAACACATGACTTCAAGAATAACTAATGGTTCATATGAAAATAAATTCTATTTTGCAAGTGTTGATGGAAATGTCAACACTTTTAAAAATCTATAAGCACCTTCAATAAATGGTTACATAGTTAATGCAATAAAACAAGGCCATGTATGCCACATCACATCAAATCACAGGGGTAACAGATAAGAACAGAAGCCTCATGCTAACATGTTCATTGCTGGCTAAAATAATGGTGTGCACCATTACAAATGCACTCTTATGCAGCGTAAGCCTTTTGTATTACTATGTAAATTGGTGACTGAGTCAGCTCAGCAAGCACACATCTGAGAATTTCGTAGAGGATCTATATCTAAAAATCAACTGTACTGTATTCTCCCTGTTAAATACAGTCATAACGATAATGTTGTATGAGTAATAGATCACTCATAGCCAGTTTAGCGTATAGGATTGAATCATAAAAGTTCTTATGGCTGTGAACGTGTTAACAGGAATCAAGAGCAATGAAGTCTTGACGTATCATCACAAATGTTACGTAAAGATCGGTCTGTTGAAGTATGTTTGGCTGCCAAAATCGGTCTGCCAGACTATATCTGCCTGCCAAGTCAGTGCGATGGGCTGACTTGCTAACAATAAATATATACAGTGTTCCCAGGTCCACCTCCTGCTCCGTATTCCACAAAAATCCAAAAATCTCTGACCCACCCAGAGAAGATTTTGCCCGGACTGTTATTAAATACCTTCTCATGATATTGTCACATTATATAATGTCCAGAAATGTTGTCACAGCTTTGTAATAATTCCAGAAAATAATTGTCAGCAACATTATAAAGCCGGGCAATTACTACGTCCAATGGTCGTCGGCCGCTGCGATTCTATGGAGAACACAACCCAACGACACGTGCGCAACGGATCATTTTTAATGACGATCCATTTAGACTGCCACTGTCAATCAGTAGACAACGCTGCTTCGTCTAGTGCTCACGGCAAGCGGAGTTGGCTTCGTTGTACCACAGCCATACGACACAGCCAGTGCCCGGTTTAACACTCAATTAAAAAAGCACAAGTGGAGTGGGCGGATGCTACCGATGTTTTTCTTGCTTTTGCGTACGTTTCTTTTCTTTCTCCTTCCGGTCTAATGCTGCTTGTTTTTGTTTCTCTTGTTGTAAACGGTTCTGTTCCTTGCGCTGCTCATGTTGACTCTTGTCTTTCTCTCGTTGTTCCCTCTGCTGTCTTACTACGTCTTCTGCATTCCTATTTTTAAAAGTGGTGACTATCAGAAATTAAGGAAAGTAAAATGACATATAACCAATTATTATAATTACTATTTTTTAACACCATTAATTTCTTTTCCCCTGCAAGAAATCTCTTATTTCATCTTTATATGGGATAAGATGCTTCTGTTAGATGGAGAAAATGAAAATGGGAAAAGAAAATGGAGAAAAGAGGATAGGTGAGGTGAGGATAGTGACCATTTACCTGGACATATACATGACATATAAAACCAATTATTATAATTATTACTATTTGTTAAAAAGAGAACAAATGGATCATGGGGACATGGATTTGGAATATGAAACGAAAATGGTGAAAAGAGGATAGGTGAGGTGAGGATAGTGACCATTTACCTGGACTTGATAGTGACTATTTACCTGGACTTGATAGTGACCATTTACCTGGGCTTGATAGTGACCATTTACCTGTACTAGATAGTGGCCATTTTTATGTAATAGTGACCTGGCTATTGAAAACTTATCTGATACTAGATAGTGACCATTTAACAGATACCAAATAGGGACAATTTACCTGGACTTAATAGGGACAATTTACCTGGACTTAATAGGGACAATTTACCTGGACTTAATAGTGACCTGGAGTTGATAGTGAGCATTTACCTGTACTAGATAGTGACCAGATAGTATAATACATACTCCAAATATCGAAATACTTTTTGATACTTGGAGTATGTATTATACTATCTTATCTAAGATTAATCAGTGGACCACTTACCTGTTATAATGACCTGTCATAGTGACCATTTACCTGGACTTGATAGTTTTTTTTGGACTTGATAGTTGACCATTTACTTGTAACAGTGACCTCATAATAGATCGTCACAAGTTATCTAATATTTCATAGTGACCACTTATCTGTAATAGTGACCTGGTGAATGATGGTGATCATTTACCTGATATTAGATAGTGACCACCTAACAGTAACAGATACCAAATAGTGACCATTTACCTTCAGTAATACTAACTATACACCATGTAAAGTGAATTATACTTTTCAAATATTTAAAAGGATACTATCAGCATTTGCATCATCCACTTCATTCTCATCCTCAGTGAACATGTTGTTAAGGAAAAGTAGGTAAAAAAATTTGCATCATTAATATAAGAAATATACTTATTCAAACATACACCAAGATTCTTAACTACTAGTACATAAAATAACAAAATTATTAAACACACATTAAATTCTTAAGTGAGGAAATAAACTCAAGTTGTAGTGCTGCTGATGATGCAGGTAGCTCCTTGAAAACCATGAAAAGGAAAAACAATTGCATGAACAACCTGCTTCACTTCTCACAAAGTTCAGACAGCTACATGTACCATCAATCAACTCTACAATAAAGAAAGTGTTAATTAGCTAGCTACAAGTTACTCAGTGATACATAACCTACAACAAGGTTTGAAAATGCTTAATGTTACATCTTTTTCTCAATGCTCATTTTCCATAATTTTTACAAAATTCATTGATGCATTTCTGACTTAATTTGTAAGAAAAAGAGCAGTAGAGCCTAAGATGTAACTTAATAAAATATTATTAATATTAGCATTTGAAAATTGATCATTAATATTACGATTTAGATTATTTAACTCATCTAATTGTTGGAGAGCAGGACAATTACATAAAAAGTGTCTTTATGTCGTCATCTAGAAACTCTACTATCTAAGGGCAATGTATTAGACCGAAGTTTAAATTTTATTGACACACTTTCAAAATCTAGTTTATCTAATAAATAATTTTCTTAACAAATTTTTTTTTAACAAATAATTTATAAACAAATTAAATTAATTTAATTTAGTATTGTACAAAAGTGTTAATGAAATCAGAACAAGCCATCAGTAAAATTATCCATAAACAAGGATATTCCTCCGATACTTCACCATATTTGGCAATCAAGCGCTTCTTTTCTGCTGATGATTGGTTTGTGTTTATTTCTTTCTTTACGACTGTGGTGGCGTGCTTCTCCATTATTGAAGCCATCTTAGTTTCTGAACTTTCTAAAGCTGTAGGGACAAAAAAAAAGTCAAAAACTATTAAAAATGATACCACACCAGGTTTGGGCACAGACATCCAAGGCCTGAGGCAATTTATCATTGTGGACATCTTCAGGTCGTCGCAAGAATACTGTATTAAACATGTTTAATATTCTATGATTTGATTGTGACCGAAATACATTAATCACATCTGCGTTTCACACAGCCTTGACGGAACAAAATCGCATCGGGCTTCATTGAAAATAAAGAGAAATCGCAATTGCCCAGTAGTACTCACGAGAGTCGTCAACATTATTCTCTGCAGTTGCTTGTTCACTCTTTTGCCATTTTGATATGATCTCTTTACATGTAGTTTCAACAATCTCCTCCTATGAAATAAAAAAATATTGATTAAGAAATATTAAATAATATAATAAAAACAAACTATCTAAGCTTACATTAAATGTATAATGTACAGTCTACACAAGATTTTTGAATATTTCTAATCTGTAAAATTTTCAAAGTTCTAGTTTTCCTAGTTTTAAACTATTTACCTCAACCAAACTTGATATGCTAATACAGTGAAAATGTTAAGTGTTTTTGGCACAGACGATATATTCCCCGATCAGGCCTTACCTTACAGTCTCTGACTTACCACTGCATAATGCAAACTGTAAAGTAATGCATGCGCATGGAATTTAACTTTTGTGCAAAAATTTGCTTTGCCGAATTATTAGGTTTTGACCTAATCTTAAGGTATAACCAATGTGCTATGCAGTAATTACAATTAAGCGCACCTATTTTCCTAGCGATTTTCCTTGCAAATTTGTACTGTATCATCCGCACAATTAAATACTTTACAGTATGGGGTAGGCCTACAGTAGCCCTATTAGTATTAATGGTAGCCTACTGCTAATTAATAAATAATATAATAAAATTCCTAAACCGGCAATTTACAGCTTTAATTTCAAGCAACAGGGAACAATTTTTATTCAATCATGTTAGATAGTTACTCTTAATGTTAGGCCTACATGTATTTATTATCGGCAAAAACGTAACCTGTACTTAGTCAGGCTACGGAGGAAATTGATACGTTGTAGAACTGATTTTTAAGACACAAAAAACATATATGACGAAAAACTCGGTAGCGGTTAATGAGATACAGATTTTTGAATATTTTTAAAAACTGGGGAAACGGCGTAACCACCCTTTTTTCCCAGTTTTTTAAATATTCAAAAATCTGTATCTCATTAAGCGCTTCCGAATTTTTCGGAGCCTGGCTTTAAGGATAAATGCCATAGTTTGGTTTACCTGTTACCTGTTTTAGAAGAACTATAGGCGCTAATGAACTTTAGTACTCCACCCTAACCTTAACCAAAATTCCAGTCTCGCTAACTACGTTATTGTTAAGGTTAGGTTTAGGGTAGAATACTAAAGTGCATTATAAGTCAATCGTGACGTCATCACTGTAACTTCCAATGTTATTTGCCTATTCCCCACCGTCGAATAATTTTTCAATTAGTGGACGCTCGGCTTGAATTTTTTTTAGGTTCGTGTGCAAAAAAAAAATTCCTCATTTTTTCGTCACCGCGAAGACATCGCGCACCGCGATAAAAATTGAATTGTAATTGAAAATTACTTCGTGAAACAAGCTTTCATTAGACCCCGAGAAAAGTTACTTCAAATTCAAGATTAAGTATGAACAATTAAGGAATTTATTGAATCAATGGACCCTCATAAACACAACAAACTGAACGTTTAATAGGAATATTCTAGACCTATTTTAAAGACTCAAGGAACAAAATTAGATGTAGGCCTACGGCCAGGCAGGAGGCCGCCCAGGCCTCCTACCTGCTACAACTAGGCCGTAGCCCCCGCCGTAGTAGCCTAGTTATGAAATCATCGCACGATTTTCTGCATGCACTGACCAAAAAGGACGTCAGTGACTGTATTCTCTCTCGAATGCTGAAATGTTTATTTCTTTGACAAAAGTCTATCAAAATGGTTAATGGTTAATGGTTATTAATTTATAGAGCGCAAAATACAAAAAGTCTCTAAGCGCTATCAGGCAAGTGTAAAGATGG